GGTTGTTGGAAGGAGCTCGGGTAGAAGCACAACCCACCGTCCCCTCAATCGCACACCGTATCTAGAGGTCAAAGTCCACCTTTCCCGAGAGCTGCTTCGGCACTTTATATATATATATTGGCTTGGGAGCTTTAAGAGGCAGGGAAGAAAATAAAATAACAACTTTAAGCTTGCCGATCCCAGGGACAGAGAAGCGTGTCTGGGTGATAAGAAGAGATTGTGACCGGGTGCTGTGAAGGGCGAAAGCACTTATTTCACTGTTGCCTCATGCGTTACCTGAGCCCCGTTGCTTTTCAAAAGCACTTAAATGCCCATATGATAGAGGGAATGCTTGGATTACACACTGTCTGGCTCCATTATTATCCAGGGATCTCCAAGCTGATGCATTTCACAAAAAAATGGTGGGGAGGAGGAGAGAGGAAATATATATTTTTAATTCAGCCTGCTTATGGGTCCTCAGGGATGATCTCCACAGAAGGGACCGGGCCAAGAAATTCAAGCCACGTCTGGCTTCTTATCGCCCGGCCCTTCTCCGTGGTACAGCGTTGGCAGCGAGGGTGGACACCCCGTGTTCGTGCAGGAGTGCTGCTCGCCGCAATTGTCAGAGCCTATTTCTTGGCATTGGGATGGGCAGGCCAGAGCCAAGCATCAAACATCCCCCTATGCTTTATGCAAACCCCGCAGGCCTGAGCTGCCGGCATAGTCGAGGTACAATATACTAAAACCATCCTCTGGGAAGAAATCTCAAGTTTTTGAGCAACTAAACTCTCAGGTTTTGCTCAAGTTGTAATGCAGCTGAGAGCACAAGCCGAGTTCTTGGTGTTCAGCCCAGGCTGAATCTATTGCTTTTTTTTATGTAGATAATAAAAATCTGCTCACATTTAATTTATTATTATCGTAATATCATTATGGAACAGCAGTAAAATTGTTTAATTTATTGGATGTTTTTCGCACCAGAGAGGGAGGATGGTGCAGTAGCTTGGGTAGTTGCCTAGCAAATGAGCAGGAGAGTCGTGGGCTTGCAGACTGCCCATCTCGCCTCGGGCACGTCGCCTCCTGGGGATCCATCATCCCTAACCTCCAAATTATAGAATCACAGAATCATACAATCGCTTTGGTTGGAAAAGCCCTTTAAGATCATCAAGTCCAACCGTTAACCTAACCCTGCCATCCCACCACTAAACCCTGTCCCTAAGCACCTCATCTATCCTTCTTTTAAATACCCCCAGGGATGG